CTACTGGGCTGTATGTGGAGATTCCCACCGAGAGACCCCTCACTGGTCACCTCTCCCAAAGGCCTCCGGCCCCGTCGCCTGCCCAGAAAAGGCAACGTTCAGGATTCTGAGAAAAACATGTCCTGGTTTCACTGTTTCTATCAAGCATCTCCCAAGCCTCTGCCTGTTTCCTGAAAGCTCTATTGAGACAGAGCAGCAGACGGACTGGCTGTGACTCACGGGTCGCCTGGTCTCTGACTGTGGGACACGTGTTCAGTCGGAAGAGAAGCAGACTGAGCCGGCGGCCAGGCTGTGGCAGCAGCATCTGCTGGGGTCCAACCCCAGCAGGTCCAGGGGTCCCCAAAGGTGTGGACGGGGTCGGCGAAGAAGGAATGACACGGAGACAGCACTCAGTTGATCAGCAGCCTAGCCAGGATCTCTAGCCAAGTTCTGGTTAGGATCTCCAGCAAAGTTCTGGTCAGGATCTCCATCAAAGTTCTGGTCAGGATCTCCAGCCAGGTTCTGTGTCCATGTTCTCTTGCTAGGTTCTCCAGCCAGGTTCTGTCACCAGGTTCTATCCAGGTTCTGTAGCCAGGTTCTGTCTCTAGGTTCTTCAGCCAGGTTCTCTCGTTAGGTTCTGTCTCTAGGTTCTTTGGCCAGATTCTAGGGTCTGTCTAGGTTCTTCAGCCAGGTTCAGTAGCCAGCATCTCCAGCCAAGTTCTGTCTAGGTCCTGTGTCCTGTTGTCTTGTTACATCTGTATTTATACCAGTTGATTCCAATCCTATCAATCTCTATTCCAAAGGCTAGGGCGTTTATCATCTCCATTCCAGGGAGTGAAGATTATGTAGCTTAAGCATGATTGTTCGTAGTTAAAGTGATTAATTACCCGCCTGGCACTTAGTTAAGGGGTTTTATTCCCTCCCTAACTTCAGGGGAAAATCCCTACCTGGGGAAACAACCTTTCTCAGAGAGATGACCTTGGTTAAAACACATAGTTCCAAGAAGGGGAGCAAACATATTAAGAACAGTATGTCATATATGCTAGGTCCCTTGTAACAGCAAGGATGGACCGGCTCCCGGCAAGCATCTTCCCGGCCATGAAAGGGGGGCGGGCAGGGGGGGGCAGGCGTGCCTCTCAGCCCGCCGCTGCCACCAGGGCAACGCAGGCCGACGGAGAGCGGACAGCTGCAGGACACCCGGTGGAGCAGGGCTGGCAGTGTTCGGGGAACTCTGTGGGCAGTGCAGGGGGAGCAGCCATCCGTCACAAGGAGGCAATTTCAAGTTGGAAAAGGGAGAATCAGGACAAACAGCGAGTCTCGGTCGCTGACGCACCTGCATGTACTCGGTGGGGAGGAGCCTGGGGAGCCGTGGCCGGCACCCACTGGCCGGGCTGTGAGCAGACAGGACCCTTTCCTTCCTGTCTCTCTGGACCCAGCCACCGAGACCCCACCCTCAGGCCACTGGACACGAAATGCAATTCCAAACACACACGTACAGCCAGAACCAAGCTCCGTGGCTCCCTCCTCCCCAAGGGTAAGACCTGTGGGTAGCTGACGGCTACCCGGAGAGACCTCAGAAAAGGTCCTGTCACTGAGAATCAGGATAAATATCCACTGAGCAAACCCAGCTAGAGCTATGCTTTTTGTTTTTCAAATCACTGTAGCCCAGCCAGCTATGAACCAGGAGGTCACGGCTCAATTCCTGGTCAGGGCACATGCCCGGGTTGTGGGCTCAATCCCCACTAGGGGCGTGCAGGAGGCAGCCAATCAGTGATTCTCCCTCATTAATGTTTCTCTCTCTCTCCCTCTCCCTTCCTTTCTGAAACAAAAAAATACATATATTTTTAAAAGTCCCTGTGTATCTGAAACATTAGCTGTCACTTTGCTGAAACTCACTGGCATGAAAGGTGAGAAGGCAGTGGAGAGCTAATAAGCTGCACAGGGACCACTGCGGTGAGAAACCTGACCCTGGCGGATTCGCATGGTCTGACCAGTTACAGAGGGCACAGCCCCTGCGCCCCGTGGGCACGCCAGCTGCGGTTACCTGGCCTGGTCAGCTCACTGAAGAGGTGGAGCAGAAAGCAGGGGTCGTACAGGCCATCGAGGTCACTGGGGCTCCCGTCCCTGAATATCGGGTCCTGTGTGTCCTGTAAGAGCCAGAAACAGAGGTGTGTGTCCTGTCCCCACTCTTATGTGTAACACCAGGGGGCGCTCACCCACCATCAAGAGTGCAAACTGCCTGGAACATCCGAAAGCATTGAAATGATTCTGTAACAACTAGTGCTTGTATCTGAAATATGATCTTTGGGGACAAGTTATAAACGAAACAAGTGCTGGTAACTGTGGTGGATATATGGGGCCCCGGGTAGGTATTTGGGGCTCCGGGTGGGTATAGGGGGTCCTGGGTGGGTATAAGGGGTCCTGGGTGGGTATAGGGGGTCCTGTGTGGGTATAGAGGGTCCTGGGTGGGTATTGGGGGCCCTGGGTGGATACAGGGGGTCCTGGGTGGATATAAGGGATCCTGTGTGGGTATAGGGGGCCCTGGGTGGATATAAGGGATCCTGTGTGGGTATAGAGGGCCCTGGGTGGGTATAGGAGGAGCT